GTGCGTGCGTGCGTGTGTTTAAAGTACATCAACGTACAGCTGATTTCAAAATGTATTTCAGAAAACATGAAATAAGATATAAAATTTAGAAACTTTAAAATTAATAAATTCTTTATTATCAATTGTTATCGAACATTCTCAAGAGACGGGAAGAGACATATTAAAACATAAAGTGAATATTAACATTTATTTGTAAGATTTATAAAAGAGAAACAAAGATCTTGAAAAGAAAAGTGTAAAAATAAATCAGAAATTGATACTTTTCTCGAAGTAAATAATTAATTTTAATTTATTCCTATATTTTTTATTTTTTTCATTTATTTATAAAAAAATAATGTAAAACTTTCTTCGTTTGATAATATATACTTGAAGATTTTTACACGCAGGGCGAAATGATGTGTAATAATTCTAATTTCACCTTTGACTTCATTAGAATTCATTTATGTACTGATGTATGCAATCCTTTAAAGAATTCTATTAATCTGATATAACATTGAAAATGACCCGATCGGGTACGAAATGTTTGTTGTTTATATGATTGAATTATTTATATTAAAAGTATTTGTTTAGGCTCGTAGCCCTCTTTTATATTATTATTTATATGTGAAGATTGTTGTGGAGATGGAAGATCAATGAGAATAAAAAGTATTTATTTATACATATATAAAGCCTTGAAAGGATTGACATATGACCAGTTAATGAGTTTATACATTAATTTTAAGAATAATTATCGAAATAACGAAATATTTTTTTAATCAAAATATTGAATTTGTTTATGTAGCAATTGTATCAATAGTAAGCAATTTTTTGGCAAAATACTTAATAGCCACCATGTATCATTGTCGTTCGAAGGAGAGAAGATGAGAGAGTGAAGAGGAGGTAGAAGAAAGGAAAACAGCGTTTGCCAAATCGTTTATTAATCCGAACGACAGTTGTGATTGGTCGGATGACCAAGAGAGGGAAGATAATACTTCCCATCAACAAGACCCAGAAATAAGCAGCTATTTCATTTTGGAACTTAGAATGTCGAGCTCACTTATTATTCTTTTAGATATTCAAATTTATATTAGTCCTCAAATTTCTGTTAGTGCATATGTATAAAATAACACGTGGTAACATATTGTGGCTTTAACTGAGTACTCATTAGTTCTTTGCTATAATTTTGAATACTGTTCTGCATTCTTATCGAAGAGAATCTCTAACTGGAACCGGAGGACGATTAAAATACATCAGGTTCGATCGAAAAATTATTCTTTATTATTGTTAATCCATAAAGTAATCTCTACAAGGGGGATTCCTTCTTTATAATAATTCTTGAACAATATCCGATTATCTTTCGAATCATATTTAAGCGGATCAATTAATATTTGTCAATCCTATGCGTTGTTCCTTTAACTTATTAAATTGAAAATTTTATCAAATATTATTCTGAAACTATCTATGCGAAAAGAAATTTTCAATGATTTGAAAAGAAAACGGTATTCGCAAATTTGAAATAACTGTCTATAAGAATAAGAGCAAGGAATTTTGTTTTCGAAGCTATATTTGTAACTTGACTGCGGTTTTGAATTTTTTTTCTTGATTTATACCTTCTTCGAAATACGCTGTTTTGATCCTTGTACATTATTGGAATCATTTATTTAGTTTGCGTATATCGAAAATTATTAAAAATATTTTATTAAATCGATTTGATAACAATCAATATTATATTTGTTAAAATATAATCTAAAATATAATGTAACATTAAACTGAAAAGTGATATTAACGAAAAAAAAAATAAAATTTATAATTATTTTAGAAATTAATTTTGTCAAAAAAAATATTATTTTAATATTCGAATAATATGTTATAATGATAACACTTTTTTATAATACATTTAATTCTTTTTAATGTGTGTATGTAGGATTATAATTATTTTGATATAAACGGAAAGTTTTTAAGTAATATAAAATTGTAAATGAAAACTTTGGTAATTTTCGCTACTCGCGAATGAAAACAAAAAAAAACATTCAAAGATTAATAAACAATCATTTGCTTGATCGAGCATATAACAAATATGACGCAGCTTATTTTAATATTTATTATGTTTCCACAAAATCTTTTTCCTCTAAAATCTTTTTATATAAATAAACTGAGAGAAGTCATGAAACCATTCTATATCTCACTTTTTTCTTTCTTCCATTTCACTCTTTTCTATATATCATAAAATTCTTTATCTCTTTTATTGTACGATAGAAATTACGTGGAAATTTAATTTACTTATTTATCACTTTTTCGCAAATTCATGTTTACTACCTTTATTACGTATTTTTAGTTGTCTGTCGTGTGAGTTATCGGTGCCTGTGCTGAATTTTTGTCTGGGATACCTTCTAATAATATTTTTTGTAGTTTTTAACACTGT